GGCTGCACAGCCTCTGAGTGCTTGGGCGCTCAGCACGTTGAGAAAACTCCTAGGCCCCCTTGTGCAAGCAGCTTGCCCACTGGTTTCTTCTCAAGGGAGTATTTACTTCTACATGTTCGAGCCTGAGATGGGCGTGGTCTTGCCAGCTCCTGATGTCCTCCAACCATCTTTCCTGTGGTTTGTGAGGAAAGTGTTCACTTCTTTACTGACTCTAATATCTTTAACCACCACACTTTCCTTCGTCCCAGTTTTACTCACAGTTTTCTGGCCCAAAGACACATTTTTCAAATTTTTCTGCTTTGCTCTCTGCTTCAGATTATCACACTAAACTTGGCAAAAAGCCTCCATTAATATTCATGCCACCGCCTGAATGTCACGCTGCCTGGCAGTTTCTTCTGCTAGACTAAGGAGTCCATTGCCGTCAGCTCAGCCCCACAGAGTCCCGGGACAGGGCAAAATGCAGGCAGCTTCTCAGTCAGGACATAACGAATGGCCTCTGGTCCACTTTCCTGTAGAGTCCTCCTCCCCTGAGACCTCATGAGCCCTGACATAGTCTCCTTGTCCTCTGGTCTCTGAACGCCGCCCACCAGAATTGCCCGTTCAGCTCCGCTTACCACAACCTACAGATTTTCCAGCTTGTCGCTTTAAACTTTCCAAAAACTTGCTCCCACAATTTCCAAAAAGCTCCCCCAAGCTTCTAAACTACATGGTCAGGGTTGTCACAGTAATGACCCCACCTCTTCATACCAATTTCCCTTTTATTCCTATTCAGTTTTTTTCATTGCTATGATTAAAAAATCAAGAACAGTTTTCGAAGGGGGTAGAATTTATTTGGGGGCTCATGGTTTCAGAAGTCTTAGTCTATAGACAGCCAGCTCCATTCCTTGAGGCTCGGGTGAGACAGGACATCATGGCAGAAGAATGTGGAGGAGGAGAGCAGCTGAGAACAGGGAACCAGGAAGCAGAGAGAGAGCTCTGCTCAACAGGAACAGAATAAATATCCCCAAAGCACACCCCCAGGGCCCCGGCTTCTTTTTGCCCCCCCCCCTTGCTTTTGTTACCACCCGGTTATCCCTGTCAGGGGATTAATGCACTGATCAGTGCATTCATTAGTGCATTAGTGCATTCATGACCTTTGTTGCATTGGCTCATACATGAGCTTTGGTGGAACGCCTCACATTTAAACCATGGCAGATATAAAACTATAAAATATAGCTGTGGTATCTCGGGACGCTTTACAGATCATGGATGTTTGTGATGCCTGAACGTGTTACTTTCATAACAGGACGTGATAAAGCTTCGCTAAAACATGCTCTTGGGCTGGGGTTGTGGCTCAGTGGTAGAGCACCTGCCTAGCGAGTGTGAGGCACTGGGTTTGATTCTCAGCACCACTTATATATTAAATAATTTTTAAAAACCCATGCTCTTGAAGAGAACAAATGCGTCTAAGTCAACACTATTTATTGAGCACATACAGTATGCCGGGCTCTGTGCCCCTTCGCTTCATCCACAGGATTCCTCCCAGCAGCAGTGCTTGGGTGACGTCACCCAGTCTCCCATGCAGCAGGCATTACAGTGTCCGGCCTCCACAGAAGGTGGCTGAAGAAGTGGCTTGTTGTCCTTCTCAGAACCCACTTGGATTAGTCAGCTTTTTGTTGCTGTGACCAAAATACTTGCAAGAACAACTTAGAGGAGGAAAAGTCTATTTTGGCTCACATTCCAGAGGTCTCGGTTTGTGATTGGTTGACTCGATTGCCCAGGGCCTGGGTCAGGCAGAACTTCACGGACGGAGGGTGTGGAGGAAGAGAGCAGCTCAGCTTATGGCTGATAGAAACGGGGACAGGAGAGAAGGAGGAAGGAGCCAGGGGACAGATATAATCCAGGCCATAATCCCAGTGACCTACTTCCTCCAACCACACCCACCTGCCTACAGTAACCACCCAGTAGCCCTTTCAAATGATTAAGCCATCTAAGGGCTTAATCCACTGATGGGCTTCCAGCCTCACAATCCAGTGTTTTCACCCCTGAATATTTCTTCGTTGCCTAATGCCTGAGCTTTTGCAGGGACCCTTCAAGATTCAAACCCTAATGCTGTGTATTATTATTGCTAAATAATTTTTATCCAAATCCAGAATGATTTCATCCTGGGGCCTTCATCACATG